TCTGAAAAACTAAAGATATTAGAATTGTCAGTTACAGGATAGGATATAAAATAAGAATGTTCAATATTTTAAGGGAAATAAAAGTGAAACTTGAAAACATAAACAAGAAACTAAGCAAGCAGATCTGAAAAAGAACAAACTAGATTTCTCAAAATGAAAGTAAAAACAGTTGAAATTTCAAATTCGATGGATGGATTAAACAGCAGATTAAACATGTCTGAAGAGAGTACTAGTAAATGGGAACATAGATCAAAAGAAATTATCCAGAATACAGCCTAGAGAAATAGTGATGAAAAATACTAGAGAGGTTAGAAAGGTTAAAAGACATGGAAGAGGTCCAACCACAGCTGACTGGAGATGGGACCAACTAAGGCTACAGTGGAGATGGAGGGTGATAGTTCCACAACACGTGTTTCTGACTTGAAATTTCTGCAGGCCATATTGGGGGAAGTCATTATGTTATACAGTTTTATGGTGAACATGAATGATCATGAAGACATAGTGATTCAAAAGAAAGTTTAGGAGAACAAGATATATAATTGCCAATGTGGCAAGAATAATGAAAAATGCCATATCTCAAACAGGAAAGATTGCAATAGATGCCAAAGGTTATGTCCAAGAATGTGAGTTCATCAGCTTTATAATATTTGAGGCAAATGAAAGATGCCATAAAGAAAATGGAATAAAAAAATGGAAAGATCCCATATTCGTTGAGTGGAAGACTTAATATTGTTAAGATGGCAATACACCCCAATTTTTCTACAGAATCAAAGCAGTCCTCATCAAAATTTCAGCTGGCTTCTTTGTAGAAACTGACAAACTGATCTTAAAATTCATATAGAAATTCAAGGGACATAAAATAGCCAGAAAAATCTTGAAAAAGAAAAACAAAGTTGGAAGACTCACACTACCCGATTTTAAAGATAGACAACATAGAACAATGGAATAGAACTGAGAGTTCAGAAACACATTTACAATCAATTGACTTTCAACAAAGGTGCCAGAACAACTGATTGTAGAAAGCAGAGTCTTTTCAACAAATGGTGCTGGGACAACTGGATAGCCACATGCAAAGAATGAAGATGGACCCTGAACTCAGACATTATATAGAAATTAAATCAAAAAAGATCAAATACCTAAAAACATAAAAGCTTAAAACTATAAGACTCTTAGAAGAAAAGAAAGGCATAATCTTCATGGCCTTGGACTAGGCAATGGCTTTGCAGATAAAACACCAAAAGTACAAGCAACAGTACAAAAAAATTGTTAAAACTGGATTCCATCAAAATTTAAAAGTCACTTTTTTTGCTGCAAAGGACACCATCAAGAAAGTAAAAAGATAACCCACATAATGGAGAAAAACACTTGCAAATCTTATCAGGGACCTGTATGCAGAACATATTAAGAACTCTTACAACTCAACAATAAAAAGATAAATAATCCAATTAAAACATAGGCAAAGTATCTGAATAGATATTTCTCTAAAAAAGATATAAAATGGCCAATAATCACATGAAGAGATACTGAATATCACTGG